AAATGATGATATCATTTTGGGGGCCTTACATATTTTAACAACTCCACTTATTGGCAATGAAGTACAGCAATTACAACAACTCGATGAATTTCAAAGACAAGAAGAGCTGAAAAGTCTGGCCGCAGGAACATTACAGACAGAGAGTAAAAAGCTTAGCCATGAACGGTTAGCAAAAATCTCTCTGCTTCTAAAAGCTGAATTGGATGAACGGTCGGAGCGCCTTGTCTGGATGTCTAAAAGACATGAGAAGGAGCTCGCAGAAAAACAGGCGTCACTAGAAACAAAATCTAATGAAAAGAATAAAGAAATAGACCGTCAATACAGAGCTGCGTTGTCAGACAATGAACATCTACAAAGAGAGTTGCAGCTCGCAAAAATGGAACTGGAACAATGCAAAATAGATAAACAAATTGTACAAGAGCTACATATGCGTTTAAAAGATGACTATTATACATCCCAGGAACATTTAAAAAAATGTGAGGCGAAACTAATAGCAGCAACAGAAAAAGGTCAGGAAGTTGGGCAAGGTGACCTGGAATCCAAGCCAGACCCTGAACAGAGTCGGGGTAATACACCAATAACTCAACAACCTCTTTACTCGCCCGGTGCTTTTAGACCCATCCTAACACCTACACAAACGGGCAGAGTAACACCCCCACAACTGATCACGCATGTGAGACCATTGATATCTTCTCCATCAATGGATGACTTGCAAAAAATCTCAAAATATGTACAACGCTTCGTTCCTGGACCGTTGGGCTCAACTGGAACAAAAGCGTACCTCAGAGATCTGGATTTCAGATTGAGATCTTAACCTAACGCTACGGTAGAAGATAAAATCAGTCTGATACGACTCACTTCGGACAGAGAGGTGTTTACCTTCATCGAGCGTCTACCAGATGCAACGAGAAGGGATTACAAACTTCTGTGTGAAGCTCTGATCAAAGAGTATGATTCCTGCACAGGACCAGCTGGATATCCAGCCGCAGAAAAGGTCACGCAGGGTAAAGCTGAACATCCAAAAGTTTATTACAAAAGAATCTTCCAAGCTTATTTTGGTAACAGAAATGAAACCGGGATGGAGGAAGAAGAAGGTTTTAAATTTGTTTTCAGCAAAAATCTCCACCCTGACATACAAACGTCAGTGCAAATGATGGCAAATTACAGAGAAAAATCCATCAGTGAGATTAAACAGTGCGCTGTGAATGTGTTTGAGGCACGTTCTCATGCCAAGACGCCCATAGAAGTGTTTCCTGGTGTAAAGGTTAAACCCCACTCCCTAGAATTAGAAGGAAGGCGTTCATCGCCACCTCCTCCTAAAAAAGGAGAAAAAGCAGTATTTTCAGACTAACAAACCGCATCATGAAGGTGCACGCTGGGACAAAAAGGCTCCTCCTTCAGAGGACGAACGTGATTATCGTAAATGGGACCAGCGGAGGACGCAAAAATATGGGAACCGAGAAGAACCCCAAAAAGACGTACCTAGCTGCCCCCCACCTCGGACGAAACGTCCAGAGGCGAAAAAATCACAAAAATCCCAGAAAAAAGGCCCTCCACCTCTGAGCTCGGAAGAGACAGAAAAATTGCGTGAAATGTTAGAAGATTTGAAACACACTGACAAGGGAAGCCGACCAAAAGCACTATGCAGTGAGGTACTCACTATTACATCTCTGGGTGCGAACGACAACACTACAGACGTCGGTGAAACACACCAAGACGTTGCTGTTGTTGCCTCAAACAACCCCTCATCGGATGAAAGGGGGGTAATCACACACACAAACGATGACGAGTCATCGCAAGCTGAACACGCAGAAACAGCTACAGCTGTGCTGACGGTTCAGACAAACCAAGATTACACAAGCACTTCTGAACGCATGAAGAAGCGTCAGAAAAAAACCAAGAGGTTTCTGTGTAACTTTATCAGAAAGGGGGCCGCCAAAAAGGCGTACCTGTCAGTAACACTCGAAGGTGTCCTCACACACGAAGCACTCCTGGACGGTGGGGCAGACATAACAATTATGTCAGCTAAACTGTTCGAGGAGCTGAGGACAGCCGCAGCCGAGAAAAACAGGATAATACCTCTATCTGATTGTGCTATAGAAATGCAGGGTCTCTC